AATAAGAAGGCCTTTTATCATTCTTTTCCATTCAACCGCCATTAAAAGCTTAAAATCTGGTCTTTGCTGAACTCTCATAAGAGTATATACAGATTTATACATAGAAATATATGACCAGTGCTCTTAAATGATTAAAAAGATGTAGAACACCCACATAAATTCTGTTGTACCTGATGGTGGCACTCTGAGGGGAAGAAGAGAATACTTTCCTAGGAAACGGTAAAGCTCTTGATTGTGTATGACAAATAGTGAGCTCTCTGTAGATAAAGTTTCTTGAATCATAGAAGACTCCACCTGTAGACACTCCCAAGAGCCTGATGAGCTCTTTATACTCACCTATACATGCACATTTAAATTAATTCAAAGATTGGCACTGGCTTTATATGCAAATGTAATGGATGCAGTGCCAGTTTATGGACCACCTCTATAAGGGATGTATGCTGGAACTCAGTAGCAGTCATGAGCACAGCTGTCAAGCCTGGTATTCCTGGCAACAAGAGAACAGGAGCATGGTCCACTACAGACCAGAGTGGACGGGATGGACTACCAACTCTCAGCACGTCTTCTACAGCCCGTATCTATTAACAAATAAACACCACATACAAATAGATGAGGGCAAAACTTTATTAAAATTCTTCAAATCATATTTTCCATTATATCACTTGCTCTTGATATTGTAAATGACATCCACTTAAACAGGTCATTGTGAATGTAAAGTATCTGGCACTGTACATCTGCTCTTTGACCTCACCTCAGTGCCAAACGATGCTTCAGTCTCTCCCTTCTCTGTAGTGACCATGTAGCCATTCACATTTAGGGCAAAACTGCCCGCAGGTTTCACCATCACAGAATCACTCAGGTTATTATATGTAGACAATAATGTATGGAAACAAACAGATATATGTAAATATACACCCACCTTTTCTCAGGCAGATGCTGAGAACCCATTTCAATGGATTTTACCTTCACCCGTTGCACCACTGACCCATTGATGATGGGCATTGGGGCGTACCAGCTAAACTCGCACATCACACTTCCACAGGTAGCTAAACAAACACACACCAGCAAAAACACAAATAAATGTATTTATATTCACAACCATTACT